TAAAGAAGGAAAGGTTCCATAGACGTAATGCTATTATACGCCGCTAGAAAGGGGAGGAAAAATTCGCCAAGGGATTTGGAGACGGAACCTAGCGGCCAGAATTTCCCCCTTTGCGATATGTACAGGAAATTGAGGAACATGTGTTAAGAAGAAACATTCTTTGAATAAACGTTTCTTCTTTGATATTTTGCAATTATTTAAACACGGATTTTCACAGTTTTTTTTCTAAACATAACTAATCCATTAATTAATTTACTTGCAAGAAAAAATATTTTCTTTTGTTTTAAAGAAATTTTAAACAATATTCATTTTATGAACTCTTGAAAACGTGACCTTTGAACTTCAACACCGGCTTCAAGCTTTGGTGACAGATATTTCACGCATGCACAGCTGTTTCCCTCTACGTTGGAACGGAGCCACCCCTGTTGCAGAGAAATCTTCCTTCTTAACAATACATATTCTTTGATTTTAACTCCCATAGTACTGCATATTAATATTAAAATAATTTTGTTTTATATGAGAGTAAGTATTTTGTTTAGTTCAACATGCACTGCACATGCACATGCGATTCTCGAGGTTACTGGAAACTTGCTTTGCCTTTCTAAAAGACAATCTAATTGGAGCTGCGAAAATTGGCTGTATGCCAGCTGGCCAAACGACGCTTACGCGATAAACAATTCGCCAATAAAGTGATCGTTTCCAATGTCGGCGCAAAACTCGCCTTTTTGGGGGGGGTCGCCGTATGAAATTCCCTGACTTTTTTGGTCAATTTTCGAATTTCCTGACTTTTCCCGGTTTTCCAGGTAGCATAGAAACTTAATATTAGTAACATATTAACACAATTTTGCTTCCATATCTGATTATTTTTGTGTTCATGGTTTACAGAGGAAGAACGAGAGAAAGCTGCTGTTCGAGTTAAAAAGCCATTACATATTGAAACTGGAGTAAATGTGGAAGAATGAGGTAAAAAATAGTCCATGCAGAATTTGTGTATCTTCTCATAATTAATGATACATTACATAAAGTAGTGTACATTATTAGACACTGCACACAGCACATCAAATACGCATCACTAAAATATCATCATCCAAATTTTTAAAAATCACATTTTACAAAAAGTCTGTCATGTATTTATTTAAATAAATTTTGCAATGATGACTTTTTCAAATAAAGGGAACCCCTCTCTAAGATGATCACTTATAAAGAGTTTGTAGAAATGTTTAAAACAATTAATTTCTATTGTAAATTTCACATATTTACCTGTCAATTTTGTTCCTTGGGTTATCATTCAAGAATTTATACAACCTAAGTATAAACTTACTGTTTCAGTAAACAAAATTATACAAAAAAGTTAGCAGAAAGACATCCAAAGTGGAAAAAACATAACTTGCTCATAGGAAGTGTATACATAACTAACCAATACATTTCTTCCACCTTTAAAGTTTTCTGTAAATATACATATATGTGTATCATGATTTAGAAATTAATAACATCATCATTTATGGAGTAATATAGCTGGATGCTTAGAAAATAACAGCCACAACAACTGATTTTAATATGCTTTTTACTTCCCTGTACGAAGTAAAAGAAGCATGTAATCTTGAAAAATTCCAGGTATATTTCAACAAAATATCCATTTTACTGCTTCGAAACCATTTAAACAATGTTTCTGCATGACATCTGTATGTACAAACAGAATAAAGGACTGTTTTTGGCCAAAGATGATTGTAAAATGGATACATAAGAGATTTTTTCCACATCTGTACATCTGTATCTCGCATAATTAAAGAATGAGCAGCTGTAGTAGAATGTTGAAATTCTGTATATGGGACTCTTATAACATGTAGTAGTTGTGCACACTGCGCAAAAAAAAGGAAGGAACAGTTTATCTCCTGTTTTACTGGGCCGATTAACAAAATTCAAATTGTGTTTTTCATGTTTCGAAAGTGTGACTTAGTATATATATTAGATTTATATATAGCATTCTTCTAATATAGGTATTCTGACAAAAAATCATACTTTTTTCTGAAATGACATGCCCCCCTTTTTTTCATATTTCAATTCTATGACTCAAATTATGCCTAAATAATAAATTTTGTAAAATTCGGTGTGAAATTTATGGAGAAGTTCAAAAATTTATCTTGGCACATTTTTTTTTTCAGTTTGTGCCAAAAATAATTCACTTGGCGAATTTTACAATATATGGCAATCTATTTTCATTTCCCTTTTTACACTGTGCACGAGTAGGGAAAGTAGGGGAAAAAGTCACATCAATCCTACTTAATACTAAATAATTTTACAAAGTGCCTAAACCACATTTGATGTTATTATCGCTTACAACAAATATGCCTAATTTCAAAACGCGTCAATATAAAAATCTACATTTATCTTCAGAAATTTTGAATAAAATGCTCTATTTTTTTTTTGCAGGTGTGCTTAGAAATACATCTACTTTAAGATGATAGTAAAAATTTTAGATTATAATTCAAAATTTTTTTTTAAATAAATCATAAAAAATGGGCAAATTTTATTTGGAAAGACCCTAAATTCGAAATGTAAAAGGAAGAATCAAACAAGTTTAATAAATAAATAAATAAATAAAAAAAGAGAGAGAGAGAGAGAGATTAATAAATATATACCAAATTCAATTAATATAGGAGCTAAAATTTCGAGAGCTTAATTTTTAAAAACAACTCATGCGATTTTTAAAAAATTTGTCCCTTTGGCATAATTTGAGCTGTAGAATCAAATACAGAAAAAATTGCTATGTTTTTCCTGAAAAAGTCTGACTTTGGATCAAAATACCTATGTTAGAACAATGCTATATATAAATCTAATACATATCCTAGGTCGCGCATTCGAGACATGAAAAACGCAAGTTGAGTTTCGTCAATTGGCCAGTAGAACGGGAGGTATACAACTGTCCCCTCCTTTTTTTTTTTGCACAGTGTACCTCTCTTTTTCATTGCAATCGTATATAAATATATATTCACACTCTGTTACCTGGTTCGATGAGCTTAGTTTTTTTTTTTTTTTTTTTAATTATTATTCTTATATGTTGATAAATTGTGAATTTTTTGCTTTAAAAGTCATTGAATTTTATGTTCCAGTTCAGGTTTTTATGTTAGTTTATCTGCATACAATAGTTGTAGAATTATCAACAATTTAAAAACATTAAATGGTGAGCTAAGACTAATGAACTGCCATTTGTTTACATTTGAAACTCGGTAGAATAGTGAATTAAGTCTTTCTGCACCTTCAATGTCCTTTTGCTGAGTGGGACCAAAAGAAAACTTTTTGTCTTGTACACCGAAATTTTTGTCTTCCTGCCTGCTGGCCAAATTGCTTCTTTTTGGGTAGAAGCTCTACTTTTAATTGTAAAAACTTCTTTTTTAAACTGTATTTGGTGCTTTTTGTTTTTCCATACTTTACAATTTTTAATGAATATTGAACGGGAGGTATAGAACTGTCCATAATATGAATATGTTTTGAGTTTTTACGTATTTCTGCTTTGCCCCGAAGTGAAAACTGAGTTAATTGAATGGGAAATATATCTCTAATGAAATTTGAGGTAATAAGTTTAAATGAAATTCAGCAAAAACTGAGTATAATTTAATAGGACATACAAGGAGTCATGTGGTGACATCATAAAACTTTTTAGTCTCACTGACACACATTTTTAATAAATCAACACTGTTCTAGAACTACACATAAAGAAAAGCGGCAGCAGCAAGTGGCTAGTAGAAAGAGAAGCAGATAATGAATGTGGCATGTTAGAGATGAAATCTTGGTAAAATAAGTCAGTTTGGGTTTAGCTGTAATTTGACTGGCTAATAATAACTATCTAAAATTAGTACTGGTTGTTCGAGTTTCAATCTGTAAAATTAACTGCATTATGAGAGTTATGTAAGAATCGTAAGTCATGGATTAATTTGAAAATGATGCAGTTCAGAGATGTTTACAATAATTACTATTTTTAGGATGGAAAGGGAAAATACCCAAAATAGTGGGCAGTATATATATGCAAGAGAATTACTTAAATTTAATTTACTTTGCTTGTAAACACTTCTATATAGATAATAAACTTGAGTATATATCAAAATGATGCAAAAGAATGCCCCCCAATGGCGAGCACACAAGTCATCACAGACTTTGGCCACTACTAAGGCCAGAAGCAGTGGTCACTTTATTATGGAAGAACCTAATAGGTGGGCCACTTTTGCATATGAAGGGGATGGGCAATTATTACCATGCCTTCTCCCGTATTTGAGGCCGGCCCTTTGGCATCTCAGTTGTCTTCCCTAATCACTATACCGTCTGGGGGGCTGCAAAAGATTGTGGAACAGATTTTATGAGATATGTGTTCCTGGACACAATACATATGATAATTGACAGTAAAGTAGCCATCAAGGTGAAGCAAATGAGAAAAGTTCATGAATCAAAAAATGAAAAAATGAAAAAACAGTAAATAAGATATGAATGAATCCATTGATAATAGGAGTTGTTTTTTAAGCAAGAGGGACAAGGTATAACATGCAATTAATAATGTCAATATAACTATGTATCCTTCCACTTAGTCTGGCATTGTTAACTGATTATTATGACTATTAATTATATGGCATGTTGTCCCAAATAAACACATGAAAACTTTTTTACTGGAATTTGTTTGTTAAGGTTAATTCCAGGATGAGTGCCCCATTTACTCAGAACTGACTACAGATACAGAAAATCTAGATAAAGCAATGCTAGACTGGATTAATTTTAGCAGAGTATGTGGGAACATACTTGTACATCATGTGCTTGTAAATGAATAACAGATTCAGAAATTAATCCATTTTTACATGAATTTTAGAATTTTTATTTTTTTATTTAATAGAGTTAGAAACTAGAGTTCAGCTACCTAAAGTAACATTAAATCTCCTAGAACTGTTGGGAAAATAACTCTGGTTTTCAATCGTTTTCATCTCCAATAAGGCATCTAAAGAATTAAATATACTTGCTTTTTTCAATTCCTCCTGGAAAGTTTCACTTGCTTCTAAAAACTTTCTTTTTTTGGCTTCAAACTTTTCTTCAATTTGTTGTAGCTCAGCTTCCAGTTTTTTCTTTAAAAAAAATTGCATTTCAGGTAATTTTTTACACAAAATAATTTTTAGAAAATATGCAGTGTTTCACATACACATTCACACAGTTGCATACAATGCTGTAAATATGCAAATAATAAAAATTACAGTTCTAGAAACAAAAATATTACTCTATATTTTCTTAATCAATAAAGGTACATTTTATGATACAATAATGCATTTAATAACTTATTTTATGACATATACTTAATGTATACCAATTTAAAATGTTGAATTAAAAATTAGATATGTAAATTGATGCTTTACATATCTAATTTTTAATTCAATCTAATTTTTAATTTTGATATTTTCCATTAACACATCATCTTATTTCTATTCCAATTAATTTATAATCATGTTAATAATAAAATATTTCACTTTTACAATGCATAAATTTCAATATGCATTCCCCCCCCCTTGACTATTCACTGATGTGCTTGAGAAGCAAGTGTTAGAGCTAAAGCAAGTGCTTGAGAAGTAAGGAGTATTCATGGATGTTTCTTTTCACAATTTAGGAAACTGCTGGGAAATTTACTTCTTTTCTGCAGTAGCATTTGGAAAATGTACATTGGGATATTAGATGAAGAAAGGAAGATGATGGATATATCAGGGGTTAATATTCTGATGATGGGTGGGGATAAATTAAACAATGAAGTTGCTTGCAGGGATAGATTAAACAATGAAATCTGCTGACAAGGCTGGTTTTTTGCTTAATTTGCATGTCATTTGGTAAGCATGTTTTAAATATATGCTTAAATATTTGTTTAAATTGACACTTAAAAATTTTTTAAGAAAATTAAAATAAACACATAATAAAGCTAAAAATTAAAAAACATCAGTGTTAAAAATCTCCCTGGGGGGTGAAGTGTTATTTATTTAAGTTGTGGAATCAAAAGTACTGTTCTTACTTTTGTACTAAATATAACAACTTATATTTTATAATTTAAAAAATGAAATGCTTTGACATTTTTTAATAAGGATGGCACAATAAACAAACTTCGAACAGAATGGTAAAGTTAAATGGGCATAAATAATAACCTATATAATATTAGTAATATATGATTCATGTTATTCATTAGAAACAACAGAGCATTGAAAACTTCTCGTATGAGTTTTGATTTGCTTTTGACAACATTTTTAGGTGAAAGAACAATGCAATTAATAGGTAATGGAAAAGTATCTGCTCAATGTTATAGTTAATTTATTGATATATTTAAATATATTGCAGTGTTTGTCTTATGGGTATGCCAACTGACCATACAGGGAGGCATTATGACTCGTATTGTCATACGAGTTTTGATTTGCATCCTACTGTTCTAGTACGAGTTTTAATGTGCTTCTGACAACATTCTTAGGTGAAAAGAACGATGCAATTAATATGCAGTAGAAAAGTATTTGCTCAGTGTTATGGTTAATTTTGTGTAGAAAAGTATCTGCTCAATGTTATGGTTAATTTTGTGTAGAAAAGTATCTGCTCAATGTTATGGTTAATTTTGTATCTTGTTATTGAAGATGTTTAAATATATTGCAGTGTTTGTCTTATAGGCAATGCCAGCTGAAAATATAGGGAGCCATTATGACTCCTTTTGTTATAATATTCTTCTGCCTATTACAACCATTTTCATAAGTATAGGTAATAATGACGTGATGAATATGGTATGTTAAGGCCAATAATGTCAATATTAATAACTGTTATAATGTTATGAAATGCCTAGCTGCCGTATGATAGCTTTCCCGCAAAGTGGGTTTAAGGTTGCCAGAAGGTGGAAAGACACAACTGCCAGATTTCGAGCAAAATTGCCCATTTGGCAATAAAATTGGTAGTACCTACATAGAGAAGTAAGAATATTCTAGAACAAATCTCTACCAGTTTTTTCAAGAATATTCTCGAAGGCAGGTCAAAAGCTATAAACAGGGTTGTTATAAATGTTGTGACAAACTTCTGGGGAAGGTGGGATACATCATTAGGATTAAGAATTGCACAGGAACACACGCCCACACATTTCAGTAGTAAGTGGTAGCAGAGGTAAATGATGGTAAGGGAAAAAAGAGAGTGATTAATTTGAAACATTTATTGGACATGAATACAACTGGTGTACTACAACTTGAATGTTGCAATAGATGTTAGAAGTTTGCACCATCAGACGGCAAACATGCCTGATACCTATGGACCATTGATTGCCAGACATGTTCAAACACACTAGGATTTTTGTTGACTGTAGCAGCTGCGGAGGTGAGTCTTGCCACAAGATCCATTTCAGACACAACAGGATTGTGACACACAACACTTTTGGCAGCTTTCCTTAAAAAGAAATCAAGGCTTGATAAATCCAATGAGCATGGGAGGGCAGGTAACTGATCCACCACGCCCGATCCATGAATGCGGGAATGATCTGTTCAAATGGCTATGACATCCAGTCCAAAACGAGCATGCGCCCCATCATGTTGCACTTCACACTTAGAGGAACATTGTCAAGCAAGCCGCGAAGAGCCTGCTCCAGAAAGATCACATAATTCAAGACATTCAACCTGGATGGTAAAAGGTACAGCCTGACTAAGCAGTCGCCGACCAACCCCATTAACTTTGTGCCATAGGGTGCCGCACACTGTGGGGTTTTTCTTGAGCACACAAATGCTGATTGCGGTGATTGAATACGCCATTCCATTGAACGTGTCCTCATCTGTGAACACATAAGCTGGGAAATCAATATCATGGTACTTTCCTGAAGAAACCACTGTGCGAAACGCATATGTGCAGGATTGCCATCAGGGAGCAGTAGCTGAACCCTTTGGAGATAATAGGCTTCGAAGGACTCAGTGTTCAAGACACGCTGCTCCAGCATGCCTTGAACGTGAATAATACGAGATATTCTTAATTGATAGGCAATGGTCCTTTGGTTATTCTCCACCATATCCAACATACTTTCTTTCCTAACAACATAGCGAGTTGATCATGGCCTGCCCTCACTTGTCCTGCCACTTCTTAATGACCCGTCGTAGCACAAATTTTGATGCAGACGTGCAAACGAATTGTGGTGAAGTTGATATTTGTCGGGGAAGTATTCTCGATAAATGTGCACAGCGTCTCATCCATTACCCTCAGCTATTCTATACATTAAGTGCATCTCTGCAAACTCTTCTTTCATATAGTGTTCCATACTCTTCTACGGTGCCTATTGCTCGAAAGAAGCAATTTTCACATTCCAATAGCACTCTCCTCTACAGCAACACCTGGTCGAGTACAATGACGTTTCTGGGCATGGGTTCCTACGCAATTCTTAATCCTTATGATATGCCCTACCTCCCCCAAAAGTTTGTCGCAACACTTACGGGAAGAGAATATCTTGAGTTTGGTAGTAGTGTCGTGAGTTCATACGTTAGCTCAACAGCAATTGACCGAGTCAGAAACTGTACTATAATGCTTTACTGTGAAACTATCTTCACCATTGTAGCCTGAAGGCTGCATTGCCGATTGCTTCAGCGTGTTTATCATAGTTTTTCGACAACTGCAAACAACTCCCTTGTGTAATACTGGAGAATAAATTGGTTTAATTCTTCATCAAGTGTTGTCATCAATCACTCCAAATCCATGAACCCATAGAACGGAACAATACTTTAAATCTTAATAAAAGTTTCCCTCACTCAAGTTCTGGTATTTTACTTTTATTTCTGGCATACACATTCACATACATATACGGGAATATTAAAATAATTTTGAAATTCATCTTACTTTGGTTTCATAATAATGCAACAATAATATATATATAAAGCTACTAAATTAACCATATAAAAGATGTATATATACCATTTATGTTAGTCATAAAATTAAATTGCAATTAAAAATGGGGGGGGATGTTAACATTTTTCTGCTCTTTCATATTGGTTCGGAAATTAAAACAGTCCTGAATTCCCTTTTCCTTGTCTGTAGACTGGCAAATATATCGTTATTAACTGATATTTCTTTGGAAAAATGAATATGTATTAATGCCATCTCAAAGCTCACTCTGTGGAACATTCACATTTGCAAGATATTATTCAGCATTTAGCTGAATGTTCAAAATACATCAAATATTAGGGAAAAGTTTTCATTCAGAGTCGTTTCGAAGTTCTGGAGATGGTAAACTGTCTTTGTACAGCACTTTCAACTCATTTATAGCAAGAGATAAGCGATTCCACTAAAGTAAAACATACAATTAGGAAAAGCAACAACTTTGGGTTCGGCATAGATTTTTAACAAGACTTTATCGATTTCAAGACAGACAGGTACAGATCCCTCTCCATCAGGAGCAAAAAAATTTTACAGAATTTCTTTTTGATGAAATATTCTCAACTTCAGTACTATTTGTTATTTCTATTGCCTTTCTTTAAATACTTTATCTAGTGTTCATGATATAGTGAGTATTACAAAAATAGGTCATTTAAAATCCTATTCAATATTAAAAAATTTAAGAGTTTTCGAAACTTCTGCATTCTTTCGCATTCTGTATCTCTACCTACTAGATTTTCTGTACTTAATTTGAGAATTTCAGAAGGTAAGTCTCTTTTGTATCGACAAGTGCACCTCGTGTATTTTGAAGAGAAATTAGGAGATAAAGACAAAACTTGAGCATCCTACTATGTTTGCTACATTGAAGGACCTAGAAGGTGGTCAAAGGGTGAACAAGAAGCGTTCATATTTGAAGTTCCAATGGTGTGATGGGATCCACAAAATCACAGAAATTATTATGGTGCTCACTGTTTTAATATGAAGAATAAAAAAGGATCATCTGTCCAAATGTGCCATCCACTTTGGACCCAGTTCCTCATAGTCCAGTTGTACCAATGCCAATTCTCCAGAAAATTTATATGCAATAGATGGTTCTGTAAGTGATTCATATGAAGATAAAAGTTTAGAAGTACAAACTTGGTGGTACCTGTGCACCAGAGCTTTTTTTCACAGTCAGAACTAAACAATTTGGTTTGAGACTTGCATATGATAATTTAAAGAAATAAATGGAAGTTTGCAATTTTGCAGCGACGGTTTTACCTGTAACCAATTAAATACCTTAATTTTTTTATAAATACTCAATTCCCATAATCAATCAATGCGATTTTAGATGTTTAAGTGCTTTTGCTTCTTTAGTGTATCCACTTTCCAAGAACTGTGATGAGGACTATTTAAAGCTGTAAAAGGACAAAGCTTTACAATTTGAAAGTATCGCTTTAAAGTACTTTCTCATTACTTGTTTGGTGAAGCAGGATGACTTATTTTCATATCACTCCTACATGGAAAATTGTGGCCTTTCTGTTCAATCTTGGCTAATCACATGCATTTGCCAGAAAGTAACATTTTAAAAATTTAAGACTTATTTACTGAAAATAATTTAACACTTTTTTTCCACACTTTATAGCCTCTTCCCTTTTGTGGATTATTTATTTTAACATTTAATTCAATTTATTTCTGATACAGGTTTTTCCAAAAATAAAACGGTGATACTGCCGTTCAAATTAAGCATGGCTATCTTTTAAAAATAAAAAGATAATGATTAAAACAAGTTATTTTTTTAATATTATTATTAAAATTAAAACTTTAGTTATATTAAAATTCTACAGCTAAAATATACATATCACATTTTTAAACTGAAATTCTGATTATTCATATTTCTCATTTATATGCATTTTTAAAATGATTCCTTGAAAGATGTACAGCAATAACATATATGAAACAATTGTGTTTAATCCCAAAACATTTTAACCAAAAATATTACCTGATGCATGGTAAGTGACTGCACTTGTCGCTTCAAAACACTCATACGTGCTGTTGTAACAACAGATCTAACATCAGGCACAACACTATCACTAAAAATTTCATTTATCAATCTATGATTTCGCAAATATCTTGCTGATGCCACATGCTTCACAGAGAATTCATCAAGTTCTGAAAAATTACATTTAACCATTATAAACAATCATTAAGTATCAGATAGACAATTTTTGAAATGCTGCAGCTATAGTTACATGAAATTTAATGCTAAAAATAGATCCTCAAAGAATAAACATTTCCAAATGTGTTTCATAATTCGCCTATTTTTCTTTTTTAAAAAACAAATGATTAACTTGCCTTTATGATGTATTCAAAACTTAAAAATGATTAAATAGGCTGAAAATGATAATATATTCAATGTTATATTATACAGAAAAATCTATTTTTGGCTCAACAGCTGCAGCAGTATATTTTTAAAATAAGGTTGCAGCAGCATATTTTATATAAAATAAATGCACAGCAGCCAGGACACCTATTCTATGATCACTGGATCCATCTAATATTTGCACAAACAATACTGACTAAAAAAGAAAAAAAAAAAAGAGAGAGAGAGAGAGAGCCAGTATTATCTACCACCTCCAATTTAATGGAGAAAACCATTTTGTGATCCTCGGTGGATCAATTTGACTTTATAGAGAGGGAAGAAGGCTTCAAGAAGCTTTATAAAGTTCTAGGAATATTCTCCCATCATATCGCTCACTCACACGCCGTATTTGTAGTTCGGCACAAAAAAGTATTAAGACCAAAACACAGCAGAATACGTTGCTGTGTTATATGGAGGAAAATTCTGTTTCTTTAGGGGAAAGTTTATGCAGGAATTTACAGCTAAGGAACAAAAAAGTGAGATACGGGATACCATTGCCTACAACTTAAACACACAAGGACAATGTATGAAAGCAACAGAGAAATAGATAAGAGTAAATGAAGCAAGCTAACTTAAAATCTTTTTTAAAATAAAGAATTTTAAATATGTAAATTTATATATGATTAATTTGCATTGTAATCTAATTGCAAATTATGTTTCATTTTTTTTTTCATGCACACATTAAAACTGTCTTTTCATGCAATTTATTTTACAGTTAAATTTAGAAAAATATTTCTTTCTTAATATTTCTTCCTTTCTTTTATTTTCTCTTTCAATGAAAATTATTTCTTTAAGGAAAAGAAATAAAATTCATTCGTTCATTGCAGTATGATCGACTGGTGCTACATTCAGCTATCACACATGCATCAAAATATTTTATTTTAAATAATTTATCCAATAATTAAGATGATAGAAAGATTTTCAATAAAAAATATACAGTAGAATTCCAGAAATCCACAAAGCTTGGGACCAAAGGTTGTGTGGATTTTAGGATTTAAGGACAGAAAAGATAAAAGCAAAATATTCAGACTAAAAGTGCAAAATGAATAAGGCATATTAGATACATTTAATTAAATTATTATATACATTATTGCAATAATTTATTATATGCATTAAATTATTATTACATATATAAATTGATTATATTATTCATTGTATTATATGTACACAGCATCGATATTTGCCGATTTCGCCTCGTAAAGATTTCAGGTTTCGGATTCCAGTGTTAGAATCACTGTTGCTGTAAAATTTCAACAGCTTTTCTTTATTTTTCCGTATATCATACACAATCGTGTCGCAATTCCATACCATTCTGCGATAAATCGAGGAGTAGCACCTGCTTCCATCTTTTGCAGAATTTGCACTTTTTGCGTTACCGTCAATGCAACGTGTTTACGTTTTTCAATGTTGCAAGCAGTGAAATCACGAGTGCGTTTCTTATCTGTCATTGTATTAAAAAGGGCTGAAATTAAAAATATTTTTAATTTATCCACAAAATATCTGCATAAAACAAGGCAGCACTTCAGAAAATACAACAACGTGAGTCGTGAACAAAAGAGTTGAGTGAATCGTCTGCTTTTTTACCTCGATGCAGATTAGAGGGGAAAAAAGTTATTTATTTTATCTTATTTTTTTTTTACTTTTTTATATCAATAATTTGATATTTCCATTTTGACTCATTATTATTCAATAATTATGACGTTATTATTCGGTAAGTATTTTTTTCTTCGATATTTCTTACTCAACGTTGCGGTTTCCGAAACCTATAAACTGAATGTTTATATTCTCAGAGGCAACACGGATTTCAGGAGTTGGCGGATTTTCGGTATTTGACTGTATTACTAAAATTATAATCATATATTCTGTATATGTGATTAAGTCGCAGTGCAATTTTTGTCATGCATACATTAGTAATTCTTTTTTTTTTTTTCAATATTACTTTACTGTTATTTTAATTTCTTATATATATATAAGAACGGCTTGTTTTAAATAGTCAAAAGATTTTATTCTGTGAAAGTAATTAAAAGGTAGTAATATTATTTTTACATTGGAAGTACTAAAGTAACAATAATCAATGTAGGCCTCCTACAACCTAAGAAGTTCCTTGTCAAACCAGCATTTTAACACTTTGACACAATAAATAGAAAACTGCAATAATAATTAATACAGTCGATTCTGGTTAATCGGACCACATCGGGAAGCGCTCATTTTGGTCCTAATAACCGGCTGGCTAATAACCAATTACACGAACATGTCCTATGTTGTAATACGGGACGTGCTATATGTAGCAAATAGTAAATATACATGTAAATCATGTACTAAAATGTAATTATGACCTTTGTTGTGTGGTACACACGTATGGCGAACATACATGTACAAACAAAAACAACAGGCAAACTTTTTTTTCACTGAGAAAATTAATTTAGAAACAAATTCTAAGAAATGATCTCCACGATACTCAGCATGCAAGCACAATAAAAACAAGTTCTTGTCAACATTTGAAGAACTTATTCAAACAAGTTCTTGTCAACATTTGAAGAACTTATTCAATGTGACCTGATGCATTCTCTTGACGGATTGCACGTAAACGAAATCGCCACAAACATCTAACGCAGCAATGAGATTGCCTTTATTTCCCTGCTGCATGAAATACCGACGCAAAGTTTCAATGCATTTCCTCGCATCCTGTGTTGTCACTTGCACCAACTTATTAGCAGCAGCATCATCGTTACTTTCTTGGTCTTCCGATGCTGTTGTGTGTTTTGCTGCAACTCGAGCAAAGACTGCAGCATCGTAATCTTCATTTTCACCGTAGCATTGAAGCTTTGTTGTCGATCAATAAAAACTCTTCGCAATTTTGTACAATTTTGAAGTTCCACATGTCCGTCATCATTTTCACTTTCAATGAGCATGTCCACATCCATCTCCAAAACCAAGTGCTTAAAGCTACAGTGAGAAAAACAGTTCTTAGTTGTCTCACTGCTCACTTTTTGCCACCTGTCGGCCACAAATGCAACTGCTTGTAAGATGCTGACCTTTGCACTGACTTCGCTGGCTTTTGACGATGAGGTCAGAAAACTTTCTTCAATTGCTTCAGAGATGTAATTAACCAATCTTGCACGATAATGGGTCTTCAAATTTTTTATGATGCCCATGTCCACTGGCTGGACCAAAGCTGTGGTCCTGGGAGGTAGAAATTCCAGTTGAACAATCATCAAGCAATCTAAATGAGGATGTGCTGCACAATTGTCAAGAAGCAGCAGCACTTTTCTCGACTGGCGTTGTAGTTCTCTGTTTCAATCCTTCAGCCATTCTTTAAAAAGTTCAGAGGACATCCACGCATTTCTGTTTGCACACAACTGGTAAACTCTGCATCCTAAGTCCTTTAAAGCTGTGCAAGGCTTAGTGCTTTTTCCTATAACCAACAGCTTCCTCTTGACCGTTCCTGACATGTTTGAGCAGCTCAAGACAGTTACATGATTCATCGCTTTTTTGGAGCTAGAGGGTTCATGTTTGTAACTTAACGAGCTGTCCGGCGTACCACAATAATACAGCCCAGTTTCATCAGCATTGTAGATGTCATCTGCAGAAAAATTTTCAAGAAGCTTGGGCAGTTTTGCTGATTTCCATTCTTCAGCATCTGTACTGTTCTTATATGTTAAATATATATATATTAATATAAATATAATTATATGTTCTTATATGTTCTTATATGTACTATTCTTATATGTTAAAGCATTTTTTGTTATAAGCATTTTATGCTTTGAAAGAAAAATGATTGAATTATCTTCCGGTTACGGTTTTTATGCCTTTAGTTAATCTGCATTTAATAGTTCTTGAATTGTCAACAATTTAAAAGTTGTTTATTTAATTTAAAAGTGCGGCTAAGCCCATTTTTTGCTTACCATAGCAGTCATATATGTTTACATTTGAAACTTAGCAGAATAGTGAATTCCGTTTCTGCACCTTCAGGGTATTTTTGCCGAGTGAGACCAAAATTAAAACTTTCATTTTTGTACACGAAAAAATCTGCCTCTGGCTGAATTGCTTGCTTTTGCATAGAAACTGATTTTAATTGTGTAAAAAAAAAAAAAAAAAAAAAATTTAAATGTAATTGATGTTTTATTTTTCCCCTATATTTTTCAATTTTTAATGAAGATATTTTAACGTTTTATATATTTTTGCCTTGCCAAGAAATGAAAACTGAATTAATTGAATAAGAAATATATCTATAATGAAATTCAAGAAAATAAGTGTTTAGTATTAGCAGCAAATATTGTCGCCTGTCTGTCTCGGACAGAGAAGAATGTTTACAAGTAGTGCATGCACATTAGGTAAGCAGCACTGAATCATCTGTGAAAAACCGTTTCATTCTTATGTATAATTTCTTTTATACATAATTTTAGATTTATTATAGTATTTGAATAGAACATGTGGCAACAATTAGGTAATCCTTCAGATGCTATAATTTCTGTGCATGAGTGTCACTATGGTATATAAATATAGTGAATTTTAAAGAGTGCATTTATTCTATTGTGATTTATGCACTATCGACGAAGTAGATTTATTTCAAGAAGTTTAAAAGAAATGCAGGTAAAACGCATATAATTTATTATTTTGTACAGGGAAGTCATGTGGTGGAGACATCAGATATTTTTATGTTAAGATTCATATATTTGAACTGCTGTGTCTGCAGGCATTATATTCAGGATGAGAGGAGAAACTGAATGAAAATATTTTGTTTTATTCATCCTTTCTCCCTCTATTATTTCTTTTATGCAGCTGAAAGAACGCAAAATAAAACTGAATGCTTTCTGTAACAATAAGCTATAAGCTATAAGCTTCTATCATGGCTTAGTATTTGGCATCACTAATAAGGTGATTAACTAGCAAAACATGTACTCCTTAAAGCATTTTGGAGCAACAGGAACAGCAATTGAAGTTATAGTATGAATTGATTCACACTTCCTTTACTATAAAAATATAAACAGGATGTTTCATATGAAATAAAGTCATGCTCGGAATTACTTACTTACCATCATCATCCTCAGCTGGTTGAATGCACATTTTCCCATCCATTTTCTGAGGGGCAATAAGAGACTAATCCAAAAATAATTTAATAAATTAATAAAAATGAAAAAACAATAAGGGAATAATTATATTGATTAAAAAGTATACATAAATTTATTATGCAAAATGGTCTAAATTAAATTAAAAATATCATATCATAATACTCACAGCAGCAGGACTACGTTCAAGAGCTTCTCTTTCCTCTGCAGCTTGCTGAGCTAAATAATTTCAGCAGAAGGTAAACTTTATTTACCATCAATTTTCAAACTGCTACAGATCTAGTTATTACAAACTTAAAACTGTTAAACAGTTACAAAGATTTATGACATATATTTAAGACTTTAATTACCTCTAACTTTGGCTGCAACCCATGCCTGGTATGCAGGCGAATTGTGGTAAGACTTAAGGGCTTCATTGTATTCGATCTAGAAATTTATAAAGGAATACAGCTATGATTCAAAGCAAATTATTCAAACTACCGTATTCTTTCAATCAGTACTCATGCATTTACAGTCTTAAAATTTTCCTTTTTCGGGCTTAAGTATATTCAATTGCTAAACTGCAGCAGATGCTTATGTTCTTGCTTTCGACAAATTAATCCTAAAAGTGAATAATTCAACAACTAGAAGCATGATTTACAGTTTAATGCTTATGCTGCCTCACCTGCAATCTCATATTGATTTGGTTTGGTTTATTTAATTATGGCAAAGCACACTAGGGTGGTTATCTGCCTAAGGGGAGGGATGCCTTTTTGGAGGATTTTCTAAGGGAAACTGGCTCGTTCGTATACACGTGGAGCCAGCCCGTTCGCAGGATTCGAACCTCGGACAGAACTACCACTGTTCAGCTATTTTACCGCTCAGCCGGTGGTGTTGGATAATTACATTTTAGTATGATGATCAATATTTTAACTATACCATGCAGAAGCACGTTTAAAAACAATTTTAAATATGATTTGAAATTAATTTCTAAAGTGATCACTTTTTTAAGTTTTAAAAATAACCATTTAATAAATAAAAATACATATTTTTTAAATGAATACTTCAAATTATAAAAATAATTCTGATAAAAAAATTTTTGAGAATTTAAAATGAGAAAGAACATCCGATATACACTGTTCTTCAAAAAATAAACTGCAGTAGGATACTAAAATTCTAATTATGCTCAGATTATCACAAATACAAAAAATTAGTTAAAATCTAAAATTTAGGATATAAACCATAAAAAAATTCTAATTTTTTGAATGAAATAAAATTTTTTCAAAGTTTTACTTTGAAACAAACTCAAGTACGCATAACATTTCTGAATTATAAATTTTTCCTAGTTTATTGTATTCATTTTAAAATATATGGAATCAATATCCCAAAACATTTACAATCATTTTTTGCAATAAAACCTTCATAACCAACTACACAAAACACATCAAATACAAGTTACATTAAAAAAAACTTACTTTTTCTGCTTCATAATCATCAACATACTCTTGCTTCGATTCATCAGGCAATTCTCTCCACATCTGTCCAATTATTTTTCCTATTTCCCATAATTTTAAATCAGGATTCTGAGCTTTCACTTGATCCCATACCTATAATCAGAACAATTACCAAATTTGAAACTCATGCACTCAATAAGTATGTACATTACATTCCTAAGAGAAACATCAAAGAAAAATGCTATAAAAAATCAGACAACAATTAACTACTATACATATTAATTTTGAGAATTCTTCATTAAAATTTCTTTTTCTCCCTCAAGAGAAATAAAAATTCTAATGAAGATTTTTTCAAAAAGAAATAAAATTACGAAGTAAAATATTTACCTTTCGACTATATCTCATATATGGCATTAAAGGCTTATCTGGTGGTTTTGGTGGTTTAGGAACTCGACTGTCGGCCTAAAAAATAATAAGATTATTTTTATAGTGATAAAAAATTAATATATTTTATTAGAAATCAGATGCTTTTACAGACAGCAAAAATTTCAGCACTTCACCCACATCCAAAGCAATACATTATAATCACTGTTTAACATTTTTGTACTTGGTTCTGCAATGCTAACACATCGTCTGTGAGAATATCTGTACAGTCGCAAAGTTTTACCATGGTTACCAGTTTTTTCTTTACCGTTGTTATTGTTAAAAATAAATAGAAAAATAGTTGTTCTAAAAGACTGAAGTTGTGTTTAATTGCTTATTCGGACTACTTTTTTTTTATATACTGGTGCATCGTTTTCGGAAATTATATGAATCACCTGGTGTAAAATTGATTTGTTTCGTAAATTGTTGGAACACTTCGAAAGTGGGGGTAAGTAATAGTATTTAGTTAGAGAATTTGTTGATAATAGTTTGTTTGAGTTTCGAAGAATTTTAAGTGAAACTGCATTGTATAGTAGTAGTTTGTTTAAGGTGTCGTTTTGATTAAGATTAAATCAAGATTCTAATAGAAACTGTCTTTAGATGGTCACTCCAAAGAAAATATGATGATTTAAGTAATTCCTTTGATTAATTTTGTTCTCAATAAAAGAGATTTGGTCTCCATTGAGCTAAGGCACTTTTGGGAATTGGAGAGTTTGGGCATTAGAAGTGCCAAAACAGATATTTCCGGTGTCGAAGAAAGGGAAATTCTGAAGGAGTTTAACCAATCGATTCAGTTTATAAATGACAGGTACTGTGTGACGTTCCCATGGATTGCAGGTATGCGGGGAAAATTGGGAAATAATAGGGAAGTCACATTGAAACGTTTTAATTGTTTAGTTCAGAGATTCAAGAGAGATCTGTCGTTGTATAAGAAATATCGGGAAGTTGTTCATAGTTAGTTTAACCTGTTAACTGGGGAATAAGCTTTCAGTAAAATCGTTTAACAATGGGGACTTTTTCCTTTGCAGTAATTTCAGCACATTGCAAGGAATAAATAAAAGAAAATCATTTAAAAATATTTAATGATATTAAAATTAAACATTTTTAATCTGGAAAAACAAATTAATTGAACGAATTTAAACAATTATTTCGTATGATATTCCCTAAAGCAATTCGGCATACACAAAGCAACACTGCAGTCGAGACACCAAAATCTCGGTTCTTTCCTAAGACCTCAGGAATAGCATAATTTGCATCTCTTCGTTACATTTACTCTTGAAGAGTCGGATGGTATATAGTCTGCAAAATGTCTTTCAAACAGTCGAGATGGTTTTGGTGTCAAAGATGATCATCCTGTACTAGTAGATGGCAACTCGATCCGTCTCTATATTTTTCAACACCTTTTTCTACACTTTCAATAAGGAAATGAAGCCTATCTAGGTTACTGCCATCTTTCTTGTATAAAAGATATGCATTCAAAACACCATGTCTAGTGCATGTAAAAATATCTTATAGTAATACTTTTTTACTTGGTTTCTAGCGATTTCATAAGTTTTCATTTGTCCGTCAGCAAGATCAACTCCTCCCATATTTTTGTTGTAGACAGCGATAACGCCGGTTTTGATATCGTTTTCCTTCGTTTTTCTATTTCTACAAATTTACTGTCGTGGATATAAATTATATAATTACAATATAATTACATCCTTTTTGTCTTTCCACTTGATAATCATTATTTTGTCTCTGTACCTAGCAATATGTTCATCTTTTTTCAAAACACAATTTTTGATATCAGATGGTATTCCCTTTCTATTTTTTTGCATTATTCCTACAACATCAGTTTTTCTTCTGCACATCTTCTCAGCTAGATCAGTACAGTCAAAAGTCGTTAATTCAGACACCCATAATCCGGACCTCAAAGCTACAAACTTTCTGCGCATGCGTCGTGCTGACGCATAGGCGTTTACGCGTGCACGTAACACCTTTACGGCTGCGAATATGCATATGCGCATGCACATAATAGTTTACGCATGTGCGTTTAATGTATAACGGACAGTATAAGCTAAGCTAAAATTATCGCAGATTGCGTTGTTCCTTAATCTTCGAATTGGATCTGGCTTATTATTTTTTGCAGACTATTAGAGCAATTTTATAAAAGTAAGCTTGAACATTCGATGATGTCAAATAGAATTTCCGATGCTATAGCTCCCAAAGGATCTACAAAGCGAAAGTATGTTTCGATGTCCATCAAACAAAAAGTGGAATTGCTGCAAAAAATGGATAAAGGCATATCCTTTGTTTATCTAACCATTCCGAAATCTGTTTATCAATTTCACGCTGCTCTGCGGGGGGTGGGGGGGAGAGCGCAATGAATTGGAAGTTCATCTGTCAGCACTATCCTTATCTTCAGGGCAGATGTTTTTATTTTATTTGGCTTATAATTCCTTACTAAATGTAATATTTCATCTTGATGTACTCCGTCTTTGATATGATTTAAATCAAGTTCCTTGTCATTATAATTCGCTTCCAATAGTGAAGAAAGTGACACAGAGGTTATTGAGAACGAAAAAATTTCGATTGGCAAATTAGTCGGTATTCTCAACACAGCTATTATAGGACTTGAACAGCGGAACTTTGTAACTAAACAAGAAATTATGTCTGTTTAATAGAATTAAAGAGAAAGTATTATCACATGAAACGAAGCAACTTAAACAACTTACATTGAAAGAAATGTTTAATAAAGTAAACAAATAAATATTAAGCTTTTTCTTTTTGTAAATTTTGATACCCTTTACATCATAATTGTTCTTTATTTCATAAATTACGGTTTCATATTTTTAATTTTGTAATTTCTGCATGCCATCTTACCAGATTTAAACTGATGATCTATAATCCGGAAAAATCAATAATTCGGAATCGCCGAAGTCCTGACGAGTCCAGATTAACGACGTTTGACTGTACTAGTATACCAATTATCGAGATATAGCATATATCCCTTATCCAACAAATCGTAGCACAATTCAAGAACAATACGATTTGGTCCCTGTTCTGGATAGTTCGAACCATACTGCATGTCTTTACCTGTATATATAATGAAATCACTTATGTATCCGGATTTACTTTCACATATCTTATACAATTTCACACCAAATCGACTTCTTTTCAATGGAATGTACTGTTTCCAAGACAGTCTTCCTTTCCATAGCAAAAGAGACTCATCTACAGATATTTCCTTATCTGGTACGTATAACACCTTGAATTTGTTTCTCAAATAGTTCAAAATGGAATCGATTTTGTAGGTTTTTTTGTTGCACACTTTTATATCGAAAGCATGCTATCACTAAAATGTAAAATTTTTACTAACAGTTGGAATCTTTTTTCTGACATAATTTTATAAAAAAAACGAAGTCTCCAGACTTTCTTGCTTTGTGAAATAAAGCTGATAAAATTTTTTTCCTAGTATTCCTTGCAAAATTAGTAAAAAAATAAATACTCTCATCTCTCGGTCATGTGTCAACCCACGAGAGACATCTTGAACGCGGTTTCATGGAAGTATTTTTTTCAAAAAACTGTCTGGCGTATTTGTTTGATTGTTCCACAATAAGTTCTACAAAATTCTCATCGATAAATTTCTCGAAATAAAAAAAAGGCAATCCTTTTCTTCAGGTCCTTCAAATGTAAGTCTAGATTGAGATAAAAACGGGAAAGGCGATCGCAATATTCTTTCACATTTCCATTCAGCTGATGTCGGTTGAGTATTTTGGTCTATAATATCATCATCCTTTGATTCAATGTCCGGACCATCAGTAAAGAAGTCGTTATCGCTTTCTTCTGAACTCGTACTTATTCTTAGAATTCGACGTTGTTTACCACACCTCCCGGGAAATATTTCATCATCACTTTCAGACAATTCAAAAATATTTTCTGCTTCACAATAATTTTTAGCCATATTTATAAAAACTAACAATTACTCAAATCTACAAGTTGTTACTAATATGTAAAATACTGAAATGCAGCCCAAAATGAAATTAAGTTGTGCAAATTAGGAGTGTTATCACAAGTTATGAGCGGACAAGTGTTTCCATTGATCGTTTTTTCTTGAACAATGGTCAAGTGACAGATTGCAAAAAAATGCCGAAAAATTTCATCATGCCCATTGAAATAGTCTTCCCAGCATGACGAATGCCCATTGAAATAGTCTTCCCAGCATGACAAAAAATTTCATCATACCCATTGAAATAGTCTTCCCAGCATGACGAAAAATTTCGTCATACCCAGTTAACAGATTAAAGAAGGAATAATTGAAATATCTTCTCATTTGTTAGGGGATGAATTATAATTTTACTTACCACCACGCTGTTATTCGAGAAGACTAAGTCAGCAGCCGTCTGTAAATTGTACTTGATGGTGCAGCTCATGGAGATTGAGAACTTTCACTAAATGAAAGTCTCCACACTGGTGCAAACTTGTATCCTAATTTATTTGAACTGCTTTTAAAATTTAGGCAAAATTCTATAGTCTATACATCGGACATACAGCAAGCCTTCCTGCAAATTCAAATCGACTCAGAAGATCGCCAGTGTACTAAATTTTTCTCGATTAATGATCAAACGAATTTATTGTACTGAATTTTACTCGTTTTGTTTGGACTTATCAAGTCCTTACCTACTGGCAGCTACACTGAAATTTCATTTTGAAAATTATTGATTTGTATTCAGACACCTGTGAATTGCTACTAAGTTCCTTCTGGGTTGATGATTTTGTTGCTGGAGCTGATGAAGTAGAGACAGCTTTGAAAACCATTCTCGAAAGCACTGAAATTCTTAAGAAAGCTGGAATAGTGGTAAGGAAATGGGAGACTAATTCTGTCGAACTTTGCAACCTATGGAAGAGAGATGGTATAGAAACTATTGATACCGAAGAAACCACCACTGGATATAGTACACCGTCGAAAGTTCTAGGAATGGCCTGGAACACAGACAAGACAATTGATGTTTTTCGACATAAAGAATTTGATGAATATTCTTTCCAACAAATCCAGT